TCTCGCTGATCCAACGCATCAGTGCAAAATAAGCTGTTTCGTCCTCGCGAGAAGAGTTTGGGGGCCTATAGGAAATTCCTAGCACGATCTTCCCAGTTGCCCCACCAATCTCGCACCATAAGTGTTCGAATACGCCACAATTAGCCGAGGTGAGATCTTCTCTGACGCGAACGCCCAGTACAGTTTTTTTTAGCTTACATGACCCCCCCCCCCCCCCCCCCATGATCAATGATTGTTAGCACACCATTTTTAGCACAGACTTTTTGCTTAGTTTTTCGTACTTATTTTATATGGAAAAAAAAAACCACTTCATACCCAAAGCTTAAATGGAAGCCTATCCCGCCGCAAGATGTGGTACTCTTTTACCTCGAATTCCTTATCCGAAATGTGAGAACCAACCCCCAAGTCTCGGTTATTCCGATGACATCAAAACCGTTGTCCAGTCCCCTCCCCCTGAGCTCGTCCATTTTATTACGTAAGGTGCATGCATTCGCGTAGAAACACTTCACTCCTCCGTGCCTTTCCTGCAGACCAGTACTACAACCCTAAAAAAGTCCATTTCCTTCATGATAGCCGATCCGACTGCTCCAGCTCCCTCCTTCGAGAAATGTGCTCCGTCCCTAGCCAGATATATCAGATGAAGCATGATAGGTTTCGGAAAGAGTAAAAATGCATCAACTTCGGGATCAAAAATGGTCGAATAAATCCTTTTGTAAAGCCGAGGCCGACCAGGTCCGAATCATTTTCCCTTTCCTCTATCTGAAATCGACCGGAATTCATAACTTCGACTGGGGGAACAAAGACCAGCTGGAAAAATCCTCAATTTCCGGTATCTGGGCTTGCCAACAGGGACAATTTACGAACCAAATCAGAGCCTCAAAAGCCGGGATTCCTGGTCACCCGAGCATATTGTTATCTGTGACTCCAATTTTTTCACTTCGTAATAAATGTCTGTTTCACATGTCCTCTTGAATCAAGGAGACTCGAGGTTAATGACCTCGACTCCAAAGAGCTCGCCGTAGCCACTTCCATCATGACTATTCACTCTGACGGACATGATATTAAAATTGCAGGGAGTCTGACCATGCATTTAATAGTATCCGCGCTTGTCATGGCAGCTTCTCCTCTGGTCCCGGTGAGGGCTTTTAGTCCCTAATCTTGTCTCTTTGCGCCTCCCCGTCTCTCTTCTATTTATTACGTTTCTGCTCCTGTCATGTCTTCTCACTGTCGTGAAGTAACGCATTTCTCTGCAGTTTTGTCGCTTTTGAACCCCTTGGACACAAACGTTCTCTACCTTCAGTCGCCGCTTTCGCTCGTATTTACGCTTCATGGACTTCTACAGTGTTTCACAGGTGAATTCGTTCCGCCTTATACATGGGCCCCGTAGGCCTAAAGTTATTGCTACGGTGGGACATGTAACCCTTTCGTCCATGGATGCACCACAGGAATAACATTTCACAATGTAAAACGTTGCGCTAATTCATTCGCAAATGTTGTAGAACAAAATATTCTTGCTAAAATGGTCCTAATGCTAGATAAACCCTGACCTCGTGCTATTCCATGTCTTGCCTTGACAACTTTAAATGTTTTTGCATATCACCTGCAACCATTTTGATTATTATTCTTGAGCTCTATATGCTCTTCCCACCGTGTTCACCCAACCTCTATCTGATTCAGACACTCCATTCTTCACCCAATATCATAAGAAGTAATGTGAAAAGCAAATTTCAAAAGGCTTTCCTTTCTTCGAACCCCCTCCATTCTCTACAGGACTCACACGTGGGCCTAGGTCTAACAGACAGACTGCCTTCAGGTCATGCCAAGGCCTACCATTTTTATTTCAAAAGAAATTCAATTCTCGACTTACGGGGCCGATAAGGATGAATCCTGGTCTTCGAGACATCTCGTTGAGGACGTGTAACGTTAGGCCTATGTTATCACGGGCCAATTCATACTTTCACGACACATTTCAGAGGGGGCATGTAACTTTAGACCAATTAGAGGTCTACTTAGAGTTTCATGAACCTTTGCAGGGCGGACGTAGAACGTTAGGCCTATCTGGAGTTCCACGAACCATCTCGACTAGGTCTGAGGAGGGAATGCCTCCAGGGAGCATGCTAACTGTGGTACGCGCCATCCTGTTAATTCAGGGATGTCCGAATAAGATATATTCATATCTGGCCACATCAATTGGCTACTGCTAACTACCGTTTCATTCTCAGCGCATTTACATGAATTCAGCACAAAAATCTCAAATATATTTTTTTTTTAAAACAGAAGATCCAGACACTGATACGCAGGCCGAATTGGTCATGAATATAACATAATTTCGGCACGATATTCGACAACGCTGGGGGAAGGGACGGGAGCCATCGCGCTAAGCCTAAATGAAACACGCAACTAATTTCTTTTTTTTTTAAGGCGAAATGGTGCACTGCAAGCAACAAAAAGGCCCCATTTTATCATCTACAAGTCAATATCTTTCTTACGGTTGGTCTCTTTTGAGAAGAAAAGGAGAAGGAAAAAAAAAACGAAATTCGCATCAGAAAGGGAGATTCAGTGTTCTCCACATCCCCGCAGAGATGGAGCTTCAAATTTGCCGCAGCGATTCTGTGTAGAAAGAGGAAGAAACAAACTTAATTTTGTTCATCCATGTGCACGCTGAGAGAAATACGAGGAAGATGGGGTTGAATAAAGGTAATAGGTGCCACCAAATCCTATTGATTATGAATCACTATTTCGGAACCTTTCTCACTCTTGGCTGCTGAGCTCTGGAAAAGATTAAGCACACATTTATACAGAACATTGGTCTGGAGGAGAAACAGATGGCAAGAGCCTAATGGGGAATGGAATCATATTGTGGGGCACAAGGTCTTATGTTTCAGTTCGCGCAGGATAAATGCATTTTCCACCCGGCATATTTCATGGCTGCCACTTCTCGTTTTTTCTTGAGGTCCATAAACTCGAGAAGATTTTACGCGAATGAATACCAAGGAAGATCAAATTCCCTGGTATTCATTCGCGTAAAATCTCTCGAGTGAAGAATCTCTGTCTCCATTGACCATTTTCGCCGCATGGTGACGCTGTTCATTCCCGCCTGTCGTCAAGGCCACCCAGGCCATCATCTGCCTCGCTTCCGACTGAAGACACAGCATTTGTGAGAATCCACATATCTTCCTCGTTAATTAATATGCCACAGAGGGTCTTAATCTTCATGTAAATCTTAATCAATACGCTTTGGCAGCGCCTATTACCTTTCTTCAGCCCCATCCCGTAGCAAAATTCAACCTCCTCGTATTCCTCGCTGAGAGCATCAACAGGAACGAAAATTTGGCATACTTCTACCTCTCTCACCACTGAATCGTTCCAGCAAATTTGAAGCTCCATCTCCCCGGGATTGTGGAGAGCACTGAATCTCGTTTTTGGAGAATGTGAATTTCATTCCGTTTTTTTTGTTTTCCTCTCCCCCCTCTCCTGGGTAGCCACTCCTAGGGGGGTTTCGAAGGAAAGAGACCAGCCATAAGAAAGATATTGACTTGTAGATGACGAAAAGGGACTTTTTTGCTTTTTGCGATGCTCCATTTCACCATTAAAATATGAAATTAGCTGTCGTTCAATTAAGCTTAGAGTGCTTGCTCTGGTACCGTCCCCCAGTGTTTGCCGGATACCGTGCCGAAATTTCGCCAGATTCAAGACTGTTTCGACCTTCGTATTGGCATCTGGATCTTCTGTTTTTAATGTATGAGACATTTTTGTGCCGAGTTTATGAGTTGAGTTGATAATGGGGCGGTGGTTAGCAGTTAGTTATTGGTGAGATATGCAGATATCTCATTTGAACATCCCTGAATTAACAGGATTGCGCGTACCAGAGACATGGAAAATATACCTAGACAGTCCAGGCCAATGGAGAACGCCAGGCAGCCTCACGCCGATTAGAAGGGTCAGCCGCCATCGCTCAAGGCGTCAAATCAACCAATAAACGTATAGCTTTTCAATTCATGACGTCACACAACACTGAGTTTTGACGCACGCAACGAAGACCCTGTAGGCCTAGGCCTAGGCCTATCTGGTCTTCAGTGACGAAGTATGGTTTAAAAAAAGTTTATTCATGCTACTTATTCCGTTTTTATATTCATTGCACTTAATAATGAGAGTGTGCATCATCAGTTTCCCATGCAGTCAGGCTCGGGGTCGACATTAGGCTTAGGAAATTCCGGCACACCTAAGGTTAGACTCCGTAAATGGGTCAATAGTTGTCAAGCCCGATTCGTCATTGTAAGACGTGAAACCCGACCCAGTCAGTGGTCTTTTATTGCATGCGAATCCTGAAGTCATTGACCATGACCACTGTGCCCCTCAGTGAATCGCATGCCTCATCCTCACCTTGACGCCATCAGTAATGGCCGCCAGCCCTTCAAATCGGCGTGAGATCTTCGACTCCCATGTCCAGTCTAGGTATACAGTGCTTATCGAATGAATTCACCCCCCCCCCCCCAACCTCTGGAGTAGGGGAGGGCGCTGATAGTGGTGCAACACGAGTGACATCTGTTTTTCATCCAAGGAACTGTCAATGACAAGATGTTACCAGCGTTCGCGATCCTAACCAGTCCCGCTAATCCAGAACGCGAATAACATGGAGCTCCCCATAAAACCTAATTCACCTGTACGATTCATGGGAGAGACACAATGAGCAGGAATAGTGTCAATTAGCCAAGTTCGAATAAGTAAGTTTCGAGGAAAGTCAAACACTGCGATTAAGATGAGATCTTGTCGTCAACACAACCTCGAAATTTAACAGTATCCTAGAGAGAATCGCATATCCTTGAATTGTGCTCTAGGAAGATACATTTTATTTTATATCAAGCAACTTGTATTTAATTTATTGTCAAATGACACACAGAAATGTTCACTATTTCCAATCATTCCAAAATTGTGAAATCGAGAATGCGAAATCTGAATGCGCTATTGTTCAATATATAGCGCTTGACCGAATGGCAGTATTACAGCTTAGCCACTGGCGCAGAATTTAGGATGGGCAGCTTTCGTAGACAAGCATCAAAGAAATACTTTGAGTGTGACACAGCAGATTTGCATATCTTGGAGTCGATGAGTTCAATACTCTCGCATATGGTACGAACGAGCTGATCCGTTGTGCTTGGCTTCATGTTCCCGATGGAGTGCTGCGGGAAAAAGAATCATGAAGCTCATTGCTCAAAAGCTATCCCCATTTCCTTTTCTTCGACTATTGAGCGCGATTGACTAAAAGGAACAGAGTATAGATACCTTGATGAGGTGGAAAATTTCCTCGATGGGATTTAGAAAAGGGGAATAGGGAGGAGTCAAGAATGAGGAATGGCCGGAGCTTTCGATTCCATCCCTGACTTGCCCATGGGCATGGAATTGCACATTGTCCATTATTATTACACTTGGTTCCTCCTGTTCTTTCAACAGTGTGTCCAAGAAATTAAAAAATGTTCCCAAATGTACCGATTTCAAGGACACAGACTTATGGACGATCCCTTCTTCCTCCATGGCCATGATTAGGGTAATATTCCGGCCCTTGGAGTCGGGCACGGAGACGGTAGCCCTCCTGAAGAATCAGCATTGAAAGTTAATCCTTTCTGACTAAACACTGTAACTTTTCAGAGAATGTGATCACGTGGACAGGTCATGATTATAGAGTCAGTATTGGTTATGGAAAACTTAAGTACAAAGGTGCCTTACTTTCCTACAATATTTCTGTCGAATATGCAGATTGTGAGGAGATTCATCCACGTAAATGAACCTTGGATGGTCCGCAGTTTCTGCCATGAGGAATTCGAGGACATAGGCGAACCTGTTCAGAAGATGTCAAAATGCGGTTAAAAGAAGGTATGTCATCAATTAAAAAAAAAGGTTTACCTCATAGTTTTACCTCCTCTCAATAACTTTGGGTTTATTTCTCCCAGCAGGAATTTTGTCCAGAACCTTGTAGGTGACTTTATGCTTCCTCAGGATTTCGGAAATGGCTGATATAGATACTGAATCCACATCATGAAAATCCCCAGTCTTGTCAGCATTGACCATTTCCTGCAGGTCCTGTTCAGGAAACGATCAATGGAATTTATTGGAGCTGTCAGGTTTTCACCAGAGATTAATACATTTCATAATCCTAACTTTCTCTCATCCCAGAAATAAAGACAACTGCTGGCGAAAAAAGTGGAAAGGTCTAAAAGCCTACCCTCAGGAGCAAATGGTTTTGATGACAGACGGCTTCCACTAGTGCCATCTGTTGCTCATCTGAAAGCTTCGGCTTCCGATGCCCCCTGTTTTTCTCCTTCTTCCAAACTCCAGTTTTCTTATATTTCTGACAAATCGACTTAACTGAGTTACAGTTCAAGTCCAGCTCCTTTGAGATAATCCGGTAGGATTTCCTTTCCTCAAAGTGTTTTCTGATTACTCTCTCGCTCAAATTGTCATCGATGCGCAAATAAGCTGAGTTTCGCGACATGACTTCGTGAGAGGCTGACGGAAGACTGAGAAAGGATGATATATGCCTCCCCTGCCCGTAGCGCTCGAAACGGCAGAGGATGCAGGAGACAGCGACGTGAATGACATCTGCATCGACAAGTAAGTACCAAGTAGTTACGCGATCTGCCCATCCTATATAAGAAAACATGGCGAGCCATAGGAGTCCATAGTGAAAGGGGGGTGAATTCATTCGATAAGCACTGTATTTACCATGTCTCTGGCGCGTAGCATGGATTGCATTCTTCTTGAAGGCATTCTCTCCTCGGGCCTATTCGAGATGGTTCGAGGAACTCCAGATAGGCCTAACGTTCCACGTCCCACTGAAATGGTTCATGAAACGCGAAACAGGCCTCGAATCGGTATAATGTTACATGTCCTCTCTGAAATGGTTCGTGAACGTATGAATAGGCCTGGGATTTGCCTAAAGTTACACGTCCTCTACGAGATGTCTCGAAGACCATGGATTCACCCTCATTGGGCTAATTGGCGCCGTAAGTTGAGAATTCAGATTCTTTTGAAAATAAAAAGGTAGGCCTTGGTGTGACCTGAAGGCAGTCTGTTGGTTAGGCCTAGGCCTAACGTTAATGAGTCCCGTAGAGAGCCGAGCGGAGGGGGAGGGGGAGGGGGAGGGGGAGGGGGGGTTGAAGAAAGAAAATCCATTGTAAATTGGGTTTCACATTGCTACATGAACCATATGGTTCGGTTTTGAGTCCATAAATAACAAGCATTTCGAAAACGATGACGACGACAAAAAACGTTGTGACTGTTGTTCGGATCACCTCTGCACCCAGCCCGAGGAGGCGAAACTTCATGGAGAAACTTTAGATTCCACGAAGAACTCGGAAGTATCGGGGAACACAGCAGCGCTTCAAAGATAGTCGCGTTCGCCTTCCGTCAGCTTCAAGCTTCGCAGACTTATGAAATCGATCGTTTCGGTTTCAAACAGGGCTCCTTGCCGAGAGACAGCTGCTCGAGTTACAATTCCAATATCATTTTGTTATTCAAATTTGATTTTTTTTTTCCGTCCTGCAGTAAAGATATTATAGGGGAGAAAAACGAGGCTTCATAATCCTGTAATTCATGATTTAAGCAATACAGGGCAATTGCACAAGGCATCGCGACCACAGGCCGTTTCAAGGCATGGATCCGAATGGAAAAAGGCATTATCGCCGCCTTATCGACATTCTGAATCAGAGCCGGCCCCTCCGCCGACACATGAAGAAAAGTCTCAGGTCTCGATCTCCCATTGATTCCATGCGCCGTGAGATAGAACTCGGCACTCGCTTCATTGATTGCCTGTTGCTTGGGGTTTACTTGCTCGCACACTCTTCATTCTTGTTCTACACATCAGTAACGCCATTAATAGAGTCACTGTTGGCTTCTAGCTGGTGGAACCAACGTCGTTTTAGGCTAGTCTCTGTGAAATGCATCCGTTCGGAACAAATGGAAAAATTGAAATCCATCAGAATCGGGCAGTCATAGAGGGATGGGTGGGACATGATCCTCGATTGCCTATCTCCGTAGGGTTGCTAAGACGACGTGTAAGGACTTGGTAGGAGAGGAACTCTTCTTCTTCTTCTTCAGTCTTCGTATGTATTCCCTACAGTCTTTCTATATATTCCCTATAGTACCCTCTCGTATCATCGTATCGGTGACAAGGGTTGGCCTTTCCGGTGATTTCCAGCACATCGATTGCCTATCGTTCCATCGACCATGGGTGACACGGTCGACGGCGACGGGAAGAGATAGAAAACCGAAGAGGGATACCGTTTCCTCAGCGAGTGCTTCGCACGAACATCGAGAGACTAGAGTTGCCTCCTTGACGTCATCATCGAGGTCCAAGACGACACCTACTACGGAAGCCGCTTCGTTCTCGCGTCCGCATCCCCCGTCATCAAGCGCATGTACCTCGCGCCGATGAAGGAATCCTAGGACGGGATCGTTCGACTGGAAGGGGTCTCGAAGGAGGGATTCCGAGTCCTTTGGGAATTTCTCTACGAGAACAGGTACCGAAGAAGAAGACGTCGCCCTGACCATTCTCAAGGATTCCCACTTTCTCCAGATCGACTGCCTCTGTCACGAACACGCCGAGAAATTGAAGATGCTGAGACACGACAATGTCTTCGACTACCTCGCCATCGCTAAACAATTCGATGTGGAAACACTGCCAGTTGAATTTTGTCTCATCGTTTCCATGAAATCTTTCGCACCCGGGAATTTCTCTTCCTGGAAACAGAAACTCTGAAGATGCTTCTGGACGGGGATGACCTTGAGGTCTCCTCCGAAGTGGAAGTCTACTAGGCGTTGATTAAAAAGTTAAATCACGAACCGCTTCGAAGAAACGAAGTTTCACGATTCTTGGACAAAATCAGACTCCCTTTATTACCCCTGAATTACCTTAAAGAAAAAGTGATCTGAGATCCCTGGGTCTACAATGATAATTACTGCCTCTTCCTCGCTATGGGCGCGAAAGACTTCCACGTCCCTGAACTGATGGATTCCGTATCCTTGGAGAAGACGCGGGCCCGAGGCACTGGCCTCTACCGACATCACGACAAGATCTGGTGTTTGGGGAGGAGGAACGAAGACTCGAACCAGATTTTTTCATTGAGTCCAAGGGACTGATCCCTTCACGTTCTCGCTCCTTACATCTCGTCTCCGCTCGACGAACTCTTCTTGATGGCTTTTGTGGCAGTGGATAGAAAGCTCTTCGTGACGGGCCATGACACCATGGACGTTTACGACCTGCAAACGGAATCCTGGGAAGTTCCGGCCCTTCCGTCCAACAAAGTGATATGGCCTTCATCGGCCGTCGGAGCCGATTCCATCTTCCTCATCGGTGGAGCATTTCATGGAGAGGTCACCGACGAGTTCTCCAAGTCAGTATACAGGTTCGATCTCGGATCCTGCAAGTGGCACTGCTCCCCCGACATGAACTACCTTCGCCACGCCGTCTCCGCCGTGTTCTAGGATTCCTGCCTCCACGTGATCGGGAAGCGACCCAACTGGGAGACGCACGAACGCCTGGACCCAGCTGGCCTCGTGACCAGGCGGCGGTTACACCGCCAGTCTCACCGTCCACCACGGCGCCATCCACCTCACCGACGGCGACCGAGACGACCTCGTCCACCCCCACGCATACGCGTAAGACGCTCGAAGCGACGCCTGGCGTCCTCTCCCCCCATGAACCAGAAACGAACCAAACACGGTATCGTCTCCTTCGACGAAAATCAGTACGCCATCGGCGGAGAGAAGTCTCCTTCCATCGAAGCGTACGACGTGAAAGAATGGATCTTTCTGAAGCAACTGGATTTGGAAACGTGCGAAAGGTCTTGCACGATGAATTGGATCGAACTGAAAATTTTTTTTTGGTGTTCTCAAACAACACAGAATGTTGATGCAACATTGCTCCGTCTTCTTCACTTTTGAGGATTTGGAAAGTTGTTGTGACACTTCTACGAATGTTATTCCAACATTTGCAATCAATATCGAAAGAATGTTGACACTTATGACATCGACAACGTAGCGACAATATTGTGACGGACAAGGATGGCATCGAGAGGCTCGACTGAATGGTTCGGTGGTGTAGTGGTAGCACACCTGACCGGCAATCAGGAGGCCCGGGTTCTATTCCCGGCCGTTCCTTGGGTTCTTTCGACCTCTCATNGGTTCGGTGGTGTAGTGGTAGCACACCTGACCGGCAATCAGGAGGCCCGGGTTCAATTCCCGGCCGTTCCTTGGGTTCTTTCGACCTCTCATGCCGTCCGACTCCCGAAGTTCCCCTCCGTAACAATATTGTTAAGTTATCGAGAATTGCCACTAGATGGAAGGATGGACCTCGCATTTCTCACAGTACACGGAAGTGTGCGACTCTCCCTTTCCCCGGAATCGTGCCCCCAGATGTGTTTATTACCTCGTCTCACGTCTCGTCTAGCCTCATGATAGAAATGAAAGAACACGGACACTTCATCATTCGTTGTCCCCATGTTCGAGACAAATTCATGGAGCCCAGACCAAAAACAAGCTCACAATCCCTAAGAGAACCCCTTCCGAGAAACTGACAAATCCATCCCGCGGGAAATTAAGAAGACGATTCTGCTGCTTGTCTCCTCATACTTGTCTGTACGATAAAAAAAAAAACAAATAAGCAAGATTGCATTCATTTTCATTACACTTTTCAGCACCTGATCACGACTGACTCTTCTCTTCCCGTACTACTTATCAATCGTCATCCGAAGTGCATTTTTCCTCATAGAAGAGTCCAATCGCACCGAGGAATATCGACCGCCACTCTGCTACACCCTATGGTAACTTCTATGGCAACACTATGGCAACTTTGTCCCATCTTCCTCCAGTGAGTGAGGATCAGGAGTGCTTCAAGTTCCTGGCTTAAATATCGAGTAACGCAAAAAAAAAACGCGTCCTGTTTGATGCTTTGTAAAACTCGCTGTGGATGATCTAGGTTCGTGATGTTTTTGTATCACATTGAAAATACCAGAAAATTTGTTTTCCGAAAGTTTAATCTACCTAGATACTTTGAATAAAAATCGGCAATCGTTCAAAGTGGAG